ATAGCGTGTATTATAAAAGTTGCTAAGTTAAAAGTGACAAGAAACGTACTGATTGTGGAACTTCTGTGTACTAAAAGTTTGTATTGAAGAAAAATAAACTGGTGTTACGTCTCTGGTAGTTTGTTAATTTCCCACATTTTTTTTTCGTTCGGATGAAATTTTAGCGATACAAGTCCTTTCTCAAATAAAACTAGTTTACTTTTTCTCAATACAACTTTGCAATACACTCAGTTTCCACGATCAGTTTAACTTAAACACACGCTATAATTCACAATGAACGATTCACGCACTTACCTACTACCGTGCTTGACTCAATAGTCCGTCTCTGTCTGTCTGCAATTCTCTCTCGATTTATTGTCTGGCGCACTTATATACAAGAATACCGCACATCTAGCAAATCGATCATTCACGAACTTTCGAGAATATCATGACGTGTTACTAGCGTTGGGTCTCATCCTTCTTCTGGACTAACACGATGGGAGCTGACCAGGGACTATCTGATTTCTCGACTAACCCTTCCTTAATTAGGCCATCCATGACTTTCTCCATCACTTGCCGCTTTGCCAGTGCTATTCTCCTTGGAGGGATCTTTATTGGACGGTGATTGCCTGTCTTTATTCTGTGCTCTACCAGGTCTGTGCAGAAAAGGTCATGATCTCCTTTCGAAAAGACGTCTGCATAATTCGCCAAAAGTTCTCTCACCTGAAGAACCTGTGATGATGACAAATGGACTATGCTCTTCTTATAGAGGTCAGTTAAATATTCTGGAAGTGTATGTCCTTTCTTTATAGTTATATTTCTTGCTTTAACATTGACTGGCTGTACCTTCTGGGACACACCAAACAATGCCCCTTCTTAAAGTGTCTGTTCACATTTAGAGAAATTGGCCACTGTTATAGGTACTACTTGATGACCTGCCACAAGTGACCTTCCAATCTTCAAATCTGCTGGCCTGGATGGGTCTTCCACTGCTTCCATAAGCATTGGGCTTCCATCATGATGTTCTTTTATCCTATCCCAAATTATCTTCTCTGACATAGGGGGTATTGTAGTTGATTTAAGTGCTGTGACATGCAGATCAATGGATGTAGCAACACTTACTG